TTTATAGGGTTGCATAGGATGTTACGACGGTGTTATATGGCTTGTAAGTCCCAACCCCCAAAATCCCTCTACCTTGTACTCGCTGTAGCACCCCGTAAAGGGCAGGGAACCCTACAGGTCCAACGCAACATGCAGCAGCAGGACATTTAGGAGGGACTCTACTGCTGACCACGAAGAACTCATGGGGCCTTGGACTAGGGGTTTAGGGTGTAGTTGGCTAACGACCCAAAGGACACAGAACAGACGAAAGTCTCAGGAGGAAGCCGGCACTTTTTCAAATGCATCCCCCTGCTAAGCTGCTCAATCGGTGCACGCGGGCCTTGGGCCGTAACGTGTTGGCAAATGAATGGTTCAGTCAAGAATGCGGCCAGATTCACATCGGACCAACTTTCTTTTGACTGAACCAGGCTTCCCACAAACCCTGGTACAGGAAGAGGCATTCTTTCGGCTCCTCCGCCTGTTGCAAAAGCGTTTTGAATCCGAGCTCGTTTAGCGTCCATCGTCCGGTATTCATCACATGCCGCAAGTAATTGCCACCGGTGCTTTTTGTCAAGGAATCAGAAATCAGGTTTCTGCCGTCGATCCAACGCACAGTTCCGCCTTTGGAAAGTTCATGTTTCACAATAGAGATGTCGATAGCGGTGCGCTTGTCGTCGATCTGACTGTACGGACAGGTCTGTTTAGAAACAGCATCGTAGAGTGATTTTGAATCAGTCACAGCAAGATACGGCAAACTGGTCAGAGCGCCTTCCCAGTCCGGGTCCTTGCAAGCTTCTCCACGGGCTTCACTCATAAGGAACCTATGCCAGTGAACGTTACCGATGCCATTCACCAGGGCCTGACACTCGGCAGCTAAGGTGTTAACAACCTTTCTCTTCAACCGGTAGCTTTTCCAGCTGGTGATTGAAACCAGGGCCGAAGGCTCAAACTGAAGATCTTGGTCATGAAAGATGATCAAATGTCCACCCTGACTTTGCGTACGACGATTCTGAAGAAAACCTTCCGAAATGTCCTGATGTCGCAGTCCGGCCTGGCTCTTCAAGAATACCGTCTGCCCCGTCCAGGGCTCGCCGGGGATCAAACCCAACTTTGCCTGGTTCCACGTGTCCGCTTGCTCTCTCTCAGACCCGTCCTGGCACAGTCGGGTCGTCCTTGACGAAGCCAAGGAATGTAGATCTGGGCCTGAGTCTGTCATCCCCGGATGAAACAGAGTCCTGCGGGGCTTGACATGATGTCGAATCCAGCATTCCGGAGTTTCTGTCCAGAAGTCCGAGGAGTCATCTTCTCGAGAGGATCCATCTTCAGCATTACCCCAAGAAGCATCCGTAACAGCACTGACACGAAGCTTATGAATAGGAATAGGGGTCACCCGAACTCCTACAGAAAACTTCTCCGCTTCAGAAGCAAGTTGGTTCGCAGACAGGATATCATTGACACGAGGCTTCGGGAACTGTTGTTGAAGAAGGGACACTCTGCCACTTAAGTCGGGACGGGTTTCCTTGGCGAGCCACGACAGAGCACCTACCAGGGAGCGAAGCTGAGCGATCTCCTCATCTGAGCACCGTGAGTACCTTTGGGACTTGCGACAATCTTGTGGACCTTTTCTTGAACATAGTGAGCCTGATCAATCATGATGCTTCCGTCGGGCTGTGGGGTGAACTGCTTTCCAGTGAACCTACCACTGCCGTACTGAAACTTGCCCAGCTTGTACTTTTTGTTGAGGGTCTCCATCCGTTGCTGATGCTCTGGGCCGCCACCATGTAATAAATCGTCAGTAGCAACAGAAACAATACCCGAAAGCCGATCCCATCCTTCCTTGGATTCATCATGAAGAAAATAAATGCAGGGGTCGGCAAGACTCTGAACATAGCCAAGCTCTTCCAAAAGAACCCTCCGAAGATGCCTAAACCAAGCCATCGGACCATCCAACAACCCGTAGCAAGTCTTAAGCAATTTAAGAAGTTCACCCTTCCTCATACCTGGCACTCCTTCTGGGGGCTGCTCAGCATACAACTCTCGATCGATAGGATCCCCGGAATGAAACGCCTGAGTAAAATCTAAGAAACCCAGCTGCCAACCCTTGCTCGCAATGACCTGAGTCGTGAACATCACTCCTTCTCTCGTGACTTGGGGCGTTGCTGAGTCCAGGTCTTCTGCTCCTTCTTCGGAAAACCCTTTCATCACATGTCGAACCTTGGCCTTGCAGGGTCCACCGTGATTTCCAGTCAGAAGCATGCCTTCCATGTTGGCTTTGTCAACATCACCAGGCTCAAGAGGCTTCACAGTCCTAACATACCTAGACTCCATGATCCGGTCTGGCCGGGTCCTTCGAATGTGCTCGCTCATCTCGGCGTCCAGCTTCTCATAGGCCTTCGTGTCCAGGTTGTTCCGAACCTCCTTTTCCGCCGCCTTGAGGAAGCATTGTAGGTCCGCCTCGGTCAGCTCCTTGAGTTTCACTTCCTTGCGCTGCCGTGTCTTGAACAAGGTCTCCAGCTTGGCGTAGTAGGCCTCGAGCATCTGCACCCGTGTTCGTTTTGCCGGTGGTTCCGGCACTAGGTCCTCGTCGTCCTCCGCTGGTCCAGGTAGAAGCGGTCGTAGTCCAGGCGACTCTTCCGGATTGTCACCCATCGGCTCGTCGCGGTCCTCGGCGTCGACTGGTGGCGCCGGTAATGGTGGCTCGAGGTCTTCCAAGTCCTCGCCGATGTTTGTCAGTACTCGTCCGGGCATTGTTTTCCCTCGTACTCGTCGAAGGACTGGCTCTGGTTCCTCACCGTCTCTATCAAGTTCGTCATACTCCTGGTCCAGCTCCTCCATGTTGGGCAGAGGCTCGTCACTAAGGTCGATGTAGCCCCTGGTAGGTTGCCTTTCGAAGTCCTCTTTGGCTCGAGTCAATCCATCAAGCCATCCGGAGATCGTCAGGTTCTCTTCTTCACTGCCTGGGCGGATCCGCTCGGGAGCGGCTTTCACGAGGCCGCCTTGGTAACTCAGCCATATAGTGACTAATATAGTGCCTGGGTAGTCCGTCATGATCACCCTGGCTGGTCCATGCCACCGTTGATGTGGTCGGTCTCCCTTCTTGGAATGGCCGAGGCGGTAGAAGTAGACCATCTGCCCCACCACGTAGTCCTGGTACGGTCGAGGTCCACCGGCCAACACATTGCGCAGGGCCTGGTCGCAGTCCACCTCGAAGAAGGCCTTCGCCGCAGCCTTCCGCATGTCCATGGCCCGGGAAATCCCGGCATCGCCAAGCCGCGGTTGTCGTCCAGCTTCGGCATCATCTTGTCCTCCAGAAAGTAACCCGCCTGGTAGGCGAGGAAGATATCCAAGGACTCGTTGGATGGGTGAGAAGCCCCCACGAGTCGCCAGTCTGTTCTTCACCATCATGGCAATGTCCACCAATTCCAGCCATTCATTGTGGCCTTCGCAGCAGTAGTCCGCCATGGTCTTTTCCAAGATCATCTTGTAGGTCTTCCCATGTCGCTCCGCAAGACCTCGTTGAGTCGGGGCTTCCAAACTGCTTGGGTCCATGCGGGTGCCCTCCTGGGCGGTCCGGACTTTGAAGGAACCCTTGAACTCGCTTCCTTGGCCTGCCTAAATTTGCTTTGGGGGTCCGAAAAACTTGACCCATTGTCGGTAGGCGGACCATGTAGCCTCTGGGCTTCGTCCCTTGAGTGGAATCATCATCTGGAAGTGGCTCGAGTAGTCGATGATGTTCAAGGCGACCCTCTTCGTCTTCTGACCAACAGTGGGTAGCCATACAGTATCCATACCGATCACCTCGTTGATGCCGAACTCACGTGGTGGTGCGGCTTTCCTGGGTGGCCGTACCATGGAGAACTTTTCGCACACACTGCAGCGGAGATTCCGAGCTTCTTGTAGTACCTCCTCGGTGGCCTTGGCAGCCTTCAAGATCCGGATGAAGCGTTCGCGGTTAGGATGACCTAGTCCATCATGAGCTCGTTTCACCAGTTGCTTTAGCGTCTTCCTCCTACTTCCTGGTAGATCACGTTCGTCTAGTCCGACACCAGCTCCAGGTACGTCCTGATCTTCAGGTCGATGCTCTGATGCATCGCCTGTGGGGCCCTCTCTGTCGTCTCCTTCGGCGGAATCGTGTTGAAGTTCTCGTCCCTCATCTTGGCCGGGTTCGTCACCTGGTTCTTCAGGTAGTTCGCCCTCTCTGTCGTCTCCTTCGGGGGAATCGTGTGGAAGTTCTCGTTCCTCCTCGTTGGCCTGTCCATTGGCGAGTCGGCGGCGCACACGGCGTGTCATCAGCAAGTCAAACTTCTCCTTGTCGAGGTCCAGCATATAGAGGACTCGATCGTGCCGTCCTTGATGTTCTTTCAGGACTTCTCCAACCTCGTGAATGTGGACTTGGCTCCATGGCACATGCAATTCGCTGGCGACATGTCTACGGACCTCGGACAGACACTCATCAAAAGAACTTCCGCTACACATCGAACCACCACCGAGGACGTCCGACGCTCCAGACCATCTTCCGACGATCTGCCATTCCCCTTGGGCCGCCCGCTTGAGACGAGAGTCACCACATAGTTTCTCGCAATTGACGGAGGCCGGCAGAAACAGCAGAACCCTGTCACATCTCTTAACTGCATGCTTCAAGCACTGCCCTATGACCTTGAGATATTCCTCGGTGATGGCCTCTGGCACTTTCTTCACACCTATAACTAAACAGCTGGCAGTCAGTTCGGTAGCCCAACGAAACATGCTGAGAACTTCGGGAAGGGTCTCGGGGCACCTGAGAACAGCAATGTCGGCTCCGGAGGTGGCCTTGTCTTGAAGAAAGGCCTGAAGAGCACGGTCTGACATGTTCAACGCATGTCCATGCTTAGACGGATCACGTTTTGCACAAAAACTCGCAGGCGGTAGCACTGCCTTGTCTCCAGATTCACTCGAACCTAGCTGCAGCAGATCAAAGGTAGCTTTCCACCCCCGAGCCGCCTGTTGTAGCGATCCGTTCAACCGCTTTCGTTCCCGCTTGCTCAGTAGCGGTCCCGCTTCCATTGGATGAACGTCGCATACTCCTCGTGGTTGAAGCTCTCCGCCTCGCTGCCGCTCATCTTCTCCGAGCTGCTCGCCTTGCGCTCGATGTTGATCACCTTCTGGCAGGCCCGGCAACGTGTCCGGTGGACAAAGGCATTGGATCCCGAGGCCACCGTCGAGTGGTGAGGGCAGGACTTCTGAAGGATCTTCACCAGGAGCTCCCGGGAGGTAAGGTTCCTCGGATAGCCCTGGGCCAAACGATGGCGCATCTCCGCAAAGCTGTCGTCCAGGAGGGGCTGCACAGGAGCCCAGCGGAACACTCCACACTGGCGCTGTGGCTCCGTGTTCGCACAGTTGTAGAACACCTTGTCGGGGTTCTGGGTCGTGGCACTGAGCTCCACCTTGCATCCTTGGCGGCAGTCGCAAATCGGCGTGTCCGGGTCGAGGACGTGGAACGCCGTGGTGTAGATCTCCTGCTGCACCTTCTTGTCCGTGATCAACGCGTTGGACTCGACGCGCAGCTTCTCGTGGTCGACCTCCATCATCTTGTTCTTCGTCTTGGCGGAGCTGGTCGACGTGTGAGTCTTCTGAGACCGTGTCGGGAGTTTTTGTCTCACCGGCTGTGGCGTAGGTGGTCCTTGGGGAGGCTGTCCGGGGGACCGAGGCGAGGGAGTGCTTAGTCGGCGACCGCGGCTGCCCGTCTTCTGGTTGAAGTGGGCGTACCCGGAGGTCAGGGTGAAGCCGCTCTCGGACTCCTCCTCCTCGGGGATCAGGGCGTAGCTCCCATCCTTGCTGCTTGGTGACGTTTTCCGGTTCTTCCGCCACTCGCGGAACTGCTCGTACATGTCGTGGTCCTCGGTCTGCCGGTTGTTGAGCACCTTGTTCACCTCGTCGCGAAGGTCCCGAAGAGATTCGGGACGAAGCTCCTCCAAGTGGTTCTTCACATGCTGCAGGGAGGCATCCACGGAGTTCTTGAACATGCTCACCGTCAGCTGGGCGATGGGGCAAACGGCGACCTTCAAGATCATCCGCTGCCAGCACACGTAGATCGTGTTGAGGCGGTCCGGGTCGGGCTGCTCCCTGGCTCGCTTGTTCTTCGGCGAAGAGCAGTCCATGGCTGGCAACAGAGGCGGGAGGCGTAGCAAAGGCACAGCAGTCCTTGTCTTCTTGCTTGAGAAGGCACTGGGTGCAGAGGTTGAGCATTTCAAACTCCCCGTGTTGTCCTCCAGCCAGGGCACGTTCAGAGCTACCTAGACTTGCAATCATGTCTGGCGTAAACTCGTTCAGCGGAACTCGGAGAGCTCCTGATGGGCCAACATGGAGCGGTAGCTTCGACCTATGTTTTGTCAGAAAAAGCATTGGTTGATCCTCTTTGAGGCTGATCACGGCCCCGCTCTGCATTAAAAACCGGAGAGAAATGAGAAAAGGGGCATTTCGGCTGTGACCCTCCGTGAATACCGCAGGTTTCATGTAACATCCCCGCCTTCCCACGCTGCAAGGGATGACCGCGTTGTAAGTCGTTTTATCACGGCCTTTGCCGTAGCCTTGTGGCTCCTTGCTCCCTGACAAAATGTCGAACCCGCTCTCAGGCTCATGAAGGGCTTCCGGCTGGTCTCCTGCCTCGAGGTAGTGGCAGAAGAGGGCATCTTCGTAGGGCTCGAGGTCGATCTCCAAGAGGTGGGCCTCCTTCTGGCTTTCGCGGGATCCTGCTGCTGGCGGATTCGGGCACTCGCGGTGCCAGTGTCCGACCTTGTTGCAACGTTTGCAAAGGGTCCGCTGCTTCAGCTCGGCGATGGAGAGCTTGTAGGTACCCGGTCGAATCGGACCTGTTCGATCCCGGTAATTCCCGGCGCCTTGCCGGTATCCTCGCCCCAGTTCCTTATCCTTCTTGATCTGGGCCGACTGGGTGTAGGTCTTCCGTTTCTCCTTGATCATCATCGCCAGAATCTCCGCCGCCTCATCTTCCTCGAAGTAGCCAGGCTCCTGTGGAGCCGCCTCGTCCTCGCCGAAATCGGCGAGTAGAGCTTCCATCGCCTCGAGCTCCTCGTCGATCGCTTCCTGCTCCGGCTCATCCTGCTCGATCGAGTGCACGGCTGCCGCGGCCTTGGTCCTTGGAGCGACTTCGTTGCCAAGCTGTCCCGCCTGCAACTTAGTCTCATGCTTTCTCAGCCATGTCTTTATATCCTTAGGCTCGATCGAGCCGTGGGTGAACGTCATGAGCACTTGATCTCGGCGTCGCTTAGCCCTAAGGCATTGATCATCAAGAAGCCTCTGTACAGAGAGGGCAGCAAAACCTTATGTTCTTGAACTTTCCGTTCAGCCGCTTCCCAGCGGCCAAGAAACTGCCTCGCCGTCTCGTTCTTCTGACGCTTCAAGTGATATGTGATCCGGGCCAGTGAGGCCAACAAGTGCTCGTCCTGATCGTCCCCGTAGTACTCGGGAGAGTCCATCTTCTTCAACAATGCCTCAGCATTGTCAGGGCTCGCAAGCCACGCCGGGTCCTTGACGAGGTGCTTGAAGTCCTGGAACGGTGTACTCAAGGCTTTCAGGAGCAAAGGCCCGCGTGTTCGCGCCTTAGCCTTGGTGGTACTTGTCCATAGACGAGCCCTGATCAGGTAGTCCTCGAACGGGCACTGACTACCATCCCATCCCGGAGGGGGTCCGGCATTGGTGCGGAAGTCGCCACCATCATCATCTTCATCCTCGTCACGTCGACGTGGCTGCCTTGCCCGGCGGTCTGTCCATCCGCCAGTCCGGTTCCGGAGTCTCATCCACCTCAGGAATTCATCGTATTCCTGCTGATCCTCCGGCCTGGGCTTTCCGCTTCATCTTCATCGAGCCCTTCATCATCCTCAGGCACTAGCGGTACCTGTGCAGCACTAGCCTGTGCCATCTCAGAGAACGCACTGACTCACAGTGCACGGTCCGTCCTGAGACTTTTACACAACCAAACAACCACTAAGCGCCTGGCCGTTCCCAGACGCTCCGCTACCACTGTAGTTGGCTAACGACCCAAAGGACACAGAACAGACGAAAGTCTCAGGAGGAAGCCGGCACTTTTTCAAATGCATCCCCCTGCTAAGCTGCTCAATCGGTGCACGCGGGCCTTGGGCCGTAACGTGTTGGCAAATGAATGGTTCAGTCAAGAATGCGGCCAGATTCACATAGGGTTTCAGCTTAAGGGAACTTTCGGGATCCTTTAAGGGGTCCTGTAAGAGATCTATTCAGGGTTTAGGGCTTCGGGGGTTCCTTTTAAAGGTCCAGGGTTCAGCATTCGACATCCCCGGGTTCGAAGCTTGTTGAAGTAGCGCGACTTGCAACCGTACCTACGGCTTAAAAGGTTCTAAATCCTAAGCCCTATACTGAACCCGCAGGTTTGGCTCCTTATTCTGAGTTTCTTGACCTATATGAGAGTTACCTTATTTTGGGGTCCTTATAATAAGGATCAAGGGGTTTGGGAGTCTCCTGTTATCAAGTTTAGGTTTAGGGTTTAGGGTTCCTGGATCTGGGAATGGGAAGTTCGAGCAAACATGGAGAACTCCCATGCTTACCCTAAAGGTTCTAAATGCCCAAAGGCGGGATACTTCCACAAGAAACTCGTCACTAATCATTTCCGGTATAGTGCCAACCATCCCTATTTCGCACAATGTCTACTACAACCTGTTCGTTAAACATATGGGTAGTTCATTAAATTAGGGTCCCTTTTGGGGTCCTTTTTATTCGGCTGCCGTGCTATATTGGGGACCTAAAAGGGGACCCTGATCTAGAGAACTACCCATATATTCCTTCAACATTGAGTACGACATGGCGGAAAAAAGTGGAACGGGAGCATGCGAGACGTGTCAGGAACATTGGAGGTTGCACCCATGCTTGCACTTCTTCCGACTGGAGGCTTTGGGTGCGGAGATTGCTGTTGGTCAGTTCACAGTGATCCGACCATGCCAAGGAAGTCTGGGGTTTCTGGTGCAGGAGTTTGGGTTTAGGGTTTAGGGTTTAGGGTTTAGGGTTTAGGGTTTAGGGTTTAGGGTTTAGGCCGCAAGATTTAGGCGTACATGGACAGACTGCTATCCTGATTGAGGCTGCGGGTTTGTTCTAGAGCCTTGTGCCTTTATAAGACTCGCTTCAACCCGAAGCTTTCGGCGAAAACCCGAAACGGTAAGAATCCCGTGATACGTATCCCGACTTAAGGCACTCTCCAACTAAACCCTAAGCCTTTGAGGGTTTAGGTTTGGGGCTCAGGACCGTTCAGGCTTGAAGCACGGAGCCCCCCCCACTTTTCAACAACAGCGCGCTGCCCAGGCGGGCTTCCGACCAGTCACAGCTGCCCAGCGGAAGCCGTGGAAGAAGCACTGCTCGAATCCGATGACGTTGGGGGCCCAGCTGGGCCTGCATCGCATATGGGCAGCAGCAGGGCATAAGCGTCCATGCACCTCGTATGGTTTCTGTACCTTGGCTCCAAAGTAAGTACCTCTACGGAAGCTCTTTAAAGAACTCGTATATACCTTGCAGGTAAATGGAGCTTGAGGGGTCCATCGCAGTGATAGTCCAAGAGCCTTACTATTACGACTATTACGATCCCGGACGATCCCTGTTAGAATCCCTACCCTAAACCCTAAACCCTAAACCCTAAACCGTTGGGAGAAGCACCTGTGGTATACTGGAGACTGCGGGCTACGGGAGCCGAGGGGTTCACGAGGAGGGGGCTGAGGCTTTAGGGCTTTAGGCTTTTAGAGGGTTAGAGTTTAGGGTTTAGGGTTTAGGGCTTAGGGACTTAATTGGGGTAAGGGTATCAAGATTTAGGGCTCTAGAGTTCGAGGTGCAGGAGCTACTGTGTCAGAGAGGGAAACCAGGTAGGCCTATCGAGCAAGGTCCAGACATGACGAAACCACAGACCGAGTTTGGTGTGTCAAGTTTGGGGCTTACACATGGGAGTTTCCGAAAACAAGGGGTACCTTATTTTGGGGTCCTTATAGTAAGGATCCTACTGTTTAGGGTACTATATTAGGGTCCCCTATTTTCGGAAACCCCCACATGGGGCTCACCAGGACCCGGGAAGGTGCCGCCAATAGGAGGTACCCCCGACTTTGAAAATAGCCGGTCTTAATGATGGAGCTTCATGGCGAGTAGTTCGGGTCTAGGTCGGGATGGGCGCTGGAGGTTGGGGACCGGACTGGGATAAGCTGTAAACTGGCTTCTCAAGATTACATGGCAGGCGTCGTTGCAGGAAGGCTTCGATCGTTTAGGTTTAGAGGAGGGTTCGTTACACTTTGCTCTGCAAAGCCCTTGCGCTCAGACCACCACTGGGTCGTTAAACGGTTTAGGGGCTCACAGGCGCTCGGGGTGTGGTCGGGATTTCTGATCACTACCTGGCCTGTTTACCCTATGCTTCCAGGGGCCTTATAGTGAGGGCCCTAGACCCCTTAAGGACCCAATAATAAAACCCTAAACCCTAAACCCTAAACCCTCCTTTTTCCTTAAGGACCCAATAATAAGGTCCCTGGAAGCCTGGGGTTACATACCACTCAAGCTTTTGCTGCATCCCAGCATCCCGAGACTGGATGGATCACGTGAAGGTCTAGGGCATGATGACGGAGATGACAATGGAGAACAGAACTTATATATATATATACACACATTATATATATAATCTAATATTACAAACTTCTAGATATATATACACATAATATATATATATATATACATATGTATATATATATATATATATGCACACGTTCTTCTAGAACGTGTGCCGGTTGCCTGTTCGTATGTCGCACGTTGCTCACGTCGACATGCACGACTAGTGGTTTGGTAGGCAGGGCAAGGTAGCCCGCTTCCGACCAAGACAGTAGATATTTCAGAACCACTTCCGACGAACATCTGTTGTTGATATCTGATGCAGGAATGCTGAAAAGGAAGGGAAGCCCGATTCTCTTTGCACCGAAGCAAAACTCCTAACATGTGCGTTCCGTGAGGCAGCCAACGCATATGATCGAACCATCTGAATAAACAGCTTGAGGAGCCAACATGCGCAGCATCGTGATAGCAAATCCTCACGCGCGGTTGCATTTACCTGTCCTGTCGGTGAGTTCGTACCAGCAAGGCATATACACACCCTATTCAAAGAACCAATTCCGAGAAATAGCCGGGTCTGCACGTGCATTCCTGGCCATACAATCGCACTGCTGTCCTGCGGTCCCGAGCAATGCTGCCAGTACCGTAGAATTACTAAGCTCATGTCAAAGCCTCTGGTCTTTGAAGCAGCCCATGAATCTTGGAACCATGTCCGTCGAACCCACTTAAACAGTCTTTGGGTTTCAGGTTTCGGTTTGGGGTTTAACATTAGGTGATTGTAAGGAGCAGGTCATGAGCTTGATGAAGTCCCCCGAACTGGATAAGTCCGCACCCTTAGCTTGAGACTTCTACCCCCAATCCCGCAAAACCCGAAACGGAATCTCATGCCCACAAAACACCTAAAGCTCAATTATCACTAGCTTTTCAGGCCACAAACCCTTCAAACCGGGACAGCTCGCGACCCCCAAGACTTTAAGTTCTACACTCGAAACACAGGGGCCGGCCTTGACATGCCCTCCGGAACGCACGGTGACGGGGGACGTGTTTCCAAACTCGGGCTGGCCGCAGGCACGTGGCCATTAGTAGTAGGGATAGAAACAGCGGTGGTAGTAGCGATTGTTGCTCTAGTTCAATCATTAGTGGCAGTCGTTGTCGTAGTAGCAAAATACATTCAAGACTCTAGTATCAGTACGACAGGAAGTAGCACTAAGTATCACCAGAAGTAATCGCCAGCGGTAGCAGTCGTAGAAGCACTAGTAGCAGCCGTAGCCGTCTCCGTCGTCGTAGAAAGAAGTAGGTGTGTAGTTGCGCATGTTGTGTTTTTTGGCATGATCGTCCTCGTGCTAGGTGTTTTTTTGTCAGTCGTACTTGTATACGAGTAACAACAGATGTGATTTAGCTGTAGTATAGTTGCAACATGTTGCAGCTGTTGTTGCCGTTGCCATTGCCGTAGCTGTTGCTGGTGCTGCTGTTTTGTTGTTGCCGCTGCTGCTGCTGCTGCTGTTGTTGGTTGTGGTGGTGTTTGCGGTTGTGGGTTGTGGGTTGTGGGTGCGGGTGCTTGTGTGGTTGTG